TATCTCTTTCCACTACAACTATAATTTCGAGTAGTTATAAAGAATCTCAATCCAAAATGACATGCGATTGAAGTACCTATCTAAGACATCCTTTGGTCAAATGGAAAAGAATTTTGCTATTTGTACACCAACGTTGACGTTTTGGTGTACACGTCCCTTGCAAGATGGTGGGGTCCACGCTCCTTCAATCAAATATAAAAGAATTTTGCTATTTGTACACTGACGTTGACGCTCTGATGTACCCATTCTTCACAAGAGGGAGGGGTCCATGCCCAATAAAAAAAAAAAAGCATGAGCCTTTCTCTTGTGAGAACGTGTGTATGTGTAGCAAAACTTAATAGAAAATTCGTTAGTATAAATCTAGGAGAATAATTCTACATGCCCCCTGGTTGGATAGAATTATGTCCTACTGGCAAGGCCCAACCTAGAAGGACTTGAGGCCGGCTTGATCCCCTCCATCCGCCCATGTAATCATGGCCGCTTTTTTAGGTCCAAAATTTTTGGGAATTCGCAATTTTAGTAATTCACAAATTTTTAAATATTTATTTGTTGATTGCAAAGGAACAAATTACTTTATATTTCTATTTTCATGATTTTTCTTTTTCATTTACAAAAATGTTTTCCACTTTCCTAGATCTTCCAAATATAGATTAAAAAGTCCATTACCCGATCGACGCCTCACCTTTACAAACACATAGCTCTCGTTTGATTTTCATTATCCAAAAATTAACATTTTTCAAACTTATTCTAAATCAAATATTCTACCAATGAAATAATTTACACATAAACTCAAAACTTTTCTCTACTTTTTAATTACATATTCTCCAAAAAATAATTATTATAAAACCTTAAGAAAAAAAGGAGCTCAAACAAAGGCATAAACAGGTTAATTATTTGAATGGTCACAGAACTATACCAAGTGCTACTATTTAATAACTGAAATTGAAAATTTATCTCAATGACCACTGAACAATGCATCGTGTTACCTATCCATCGCTCAAGTCAACGCCGTTTGTTAAACCTAACGGATTTTTCTATTTGAACGATGGATGAGTAACACGATGTATAATTTATTGATTATTTAGATGTAGTCCTTGTTAAGCCCCATTTTTGGAGAAAAAAATTATTTTCGAATAGTTGGCTTTTGGAGAATATGTGGTTAAAAAGTAAGAAATTTTTTCGATTTACATATACAATTAATTTGTTGGAGAACGTATTAATGAAAATGAGTTTTAAAAAAATAAAACTCAAATAAAGGCATAATTTATAGCTCAGTTATTAAGTGGTAACAATTGATATAGTTCAATCACCATATGGATACAATTTTAAGTTCAGTTATTAAGTAGTAGCAATTCCTTCTTTCCTTGACTCGATCTCAGTAAAAGAATAAACCAACGAAAGTGAAGGGAAAAAGAGGAAATTGAAAATTAGAAGCCTATAAATTATGCTTGGGCAAAAAAATAAGAAAAAATCGATCAAATCAATCAAATCGAACCGATTAACACAGGTGATTGGTTTGGGTTGATTTTCTTTTAAAAAAAACCATAGTGATTTGGTTCGGTCATGGTTTAAAGTCTCAAAATGCTGGTTAATTGAACCAACCCAACCTACTTACATATTTACCTTTTTTAAGAAAAATAAAAATCAAAAGATGAACCATAATCTCATAACTATATTACGATTCCCTCCAATCTATGATGTTGCCGATAATTAATAGTATTGAAAATTTTCTTTCACAGGCTCATTATATTGTACTTAGCATTTTTCCCTACTCAGATAGTCATGCTACATAATGTATAAAATGATAACAAAATTCTTAAGTTTTCCGTTGATCTATTTCTAGTAATCTAATTTTATTTGTTAGTAAGTGATTCTTATATTATAAAGTTATTTAGTTATTTTAGTTCTTGTAATCTAATTGAATCTAAAACTTGGACAATTTTTAAAAATAAATTCAATTTAGACTAAAAGTCCAAATCTATCAACCGAACCAAGTCAATTTAAGAGTTAGAGTGGAGTTGGTTTTGGTTGAAATTCACCTAAATCGACTAATTTGATTTTGGTTTCGGGTTGGAGTTGAAACTAACCTAAACCAAACCGTGCCAAGGCCTAGTATAAATCGAAAAAAAAAATTGAACTTTTCGAAATTGGACATCCCAGATTTCTGCGAAAGATTGAATTTTATCTAGTGGGTATGTCATTTTTCCACAAAAAATGGACTTTTTGAACGAAGATTGATTTTTTGGAAATGGTGGTTGAGATTTTGACAAAATATTATATATGATTATTTGTTCACTTTGGAAATTTTAGGATTAGCAGTTTCTGCAAGAGATAGGATTATTTGTTCACTTTGGAACTAGACCGCGATCCACAAATTGACGCATGAGACTCACCCCTTGTTTGGGAATAGAAAGGGGAAACATAGCACGTCACAAGAGCGAGGTGAGGTTTTGAACCCTACCATGAAATAGACGTCTCGCGAGCCGAGCTCTTATAGATGAGGCATTTTGGCGAATCCAAGTTAATTTCAGGCTACCAAGCCGTACAACTTATGAAAAGGCACTATGGAGTAAAGGAAAGTGTGTACGTTGTCACATTCCCTGCTTTCCAAAGGTGCCTACAGGATGGGCCACACACAGTAGAGTGACGGTCCGAAGCGAATTCCCCATTGACAGGGGAACAAGAGATGACCATCTCAAGGCACATCACAACCTTTCATCTTCTATATCTCATTCTTAGAGCCCAAGATGGAAAAATTGATCTTTTTGTAGAAACATGTGATACCTAATTCTAAAATTATATATATATTATTTATTTATAGACTCTTGATTTTCAGTCTACTCTTTTTTTTTTCTTTTTTTTATTTGGTTTCTCCTTTTATAGAGATCGATTTGAGTTAAGAAAAAATTGTTACCTTTTAATAGTTTAACTTAAAATTGTATCTCAATGATGATTGAAATTACCAATTGTTACTACTTGGCCTTTGTTTGAGCCCCTTTTGGGGAAAAAAATATATTTTGGAATAGTTATTTTTTAAAAAATGCGTGGTTAAAAAAATCGATTTACATGTAAAATTATTTTATTGGAGAAAATGTAATTGAAAATAAGTTTTCAAAAATGGCGATCAACAAAGTGTTTAATAATTGAACTTAAAATTGTATTTTAATGGTCATCGAATTATGCATCGTATTACTTATCCATCCCTCAAATCAACATCGTTTGTTGAACCTAACGAATTTTTTTACTTGAGTGATGAATGGATAATACGGTGCATAATTTAATAATTATTAAGATATATTTTTAAGTTCAGTTATTAAGTAGTAATACTATAATTTAGTGACCATTTAAATAATTATCCCAGGCATAAATGTGAGAAGAAATAGTAACGAAATGAATTATAGCCGGACATGATCCGATTCTAAAGAGAATCGAATCGAATCAAATTTTTTGCATATTTTGTAAATAAAATTGTCGGATCTAAATTTAATTATCGAACTGAACCGGTTTGGTATCGTACTATAATTAATTTTCTAACACTTACTGTAAAATAATATTAATCCAACTAATTACATGTTCAATTTTAGTTCTTAAAACAATATCACAATAACTCTTATAAAATAACGTAATCCAATTTAAAAATATACAAATAATAATTGTCTAATAAGATTTATTCATAAATGTATACAAAATACTTCTATCAAAGTGGAGAAAATTCAATGAATAGGACAAAAATTGAGTAAGATGAAGAGTGGCACATGCGCACAGCTGCTCAGCTTTGCTTTGTGCAATTATTCAACATTCAATTTTGATTTTTTGAGAAACGACGGAATGATGGAGAAAAACTCAGCTCACTTAGGGGCTGTTTGGGCCCCATTTTTTCACCAGAAAAATTGATTTTTTGATCGTTATTTTACTATTCCAGCCGTCATATTTGACTTCTTCTCTCATAGGTGGACCCCACTTTTATTATAACGGTCAAAAAATCAATTCTCAAAATCACTCCCAAACAAGCTCTTAATAATTCAATTTTGATTTTTTGAAATTTGAATTACAAAATTGATTTTAGACATAAAATAGAAAAAAACGATATTTTTTCTGAATTAACTAGTTGACAAATTTATTTTGAAAAATTAAAAAAATTGTCTTATTTAGCCCCAGTTTATTTCTCATTATTTGCCCGTTAAAATGAAAAATATGATCGTTATCCATCACATTAAGTCATCATATTTGACTTTCTATATCTTATGTGGATCCCTTAACGACTATATTTTTCATTATTATTTTTATATTAATGTGTAGCAAATGAGGCCTTAATGTAAAAAAGAAAAAAATTAAAAAAATCAAACCAATCACTTATTAATTCTGATACTCGTTTAAATATTTTTGCTTAAAAGAATCGATTTGATTCTAGGGTCCGGTTCAACCCTAAAATGGATAGAAGGCACTAACAGTAACAGGTCTCCTCTTTCTCAAAAAGTCAGAAGTCAATGCTTTCAGTATCCTATCTCTCTTCTAATTCTAGGTCCTCCGAAGCCTCGCTTTGTGCAATCATTCAACATTCTCATCTCTTTCAGATCTCATCCTCGCCACTCATTTTCATCTATATTTACGGTTATTTTTTCTTTAGAAAATTTGGTCGTGAAAAATTTTAGATCTGATCCAGGTAGTTTGATTTACCCGTGCAAATTTTGCTGTTATTTCTTATTTTGTTTATTTTGTTCTGTATAATATCCACGTATTTGTTAGAATTGTTAATTTGGATTTTGATTTTAAAGTTTAAAAAAAAAAATAAAAAAATTCACCGAACTTTGTTTTTTGAAAATCCTGTCAATTGATTTTTTTCCCCGACGAGATATACTATGTTGTTTTGTTTTAATATTTTTGTGCAATTTTGAGGGATGTCGGATCTATTAGTTTCATGTTTTCTTTTGAATAGCATCTTATGCATCTGTTTGGCTAGAAATTTTTAGATATCTGTTTAGTCATCTCTATTTTTGAAAAGTATATATATGTGTGTGTGTGTGTGTATATTTTTTTTTGTATCTGCTTGTCTAAATTATTTTATCTTGATGTCGATTGATCTGGTTAGGGAAATGCGAGCAAAATTCTTGTTTTAAAATAAGTCACGGGTGTCCGTAGAGATCCAATCTTCTCAGATATGACCAAATTGTAGGGCTAGAAAATTGTCAGCCCCAGCTTAACCAGATCAATCATGCTACATGTACATCTTCTTTTAAATAAGGAAGCCAATAAAATTATTTGTTTTCCATTATCGAGGCATTGCCAAGTTTGGATCTACATCATGTTAATTTATCATATCCATTCTCTTAAAAATTGTTATGCTTTTTCAAATATCAAATACATGTACTAGTTTTTCCCAGTAATAATTAAGTGTGCTGTCAATTATTTAGGCTTTACTAAGTTAGGATATACATGAAACTCATTCATCACATCATATTTTCTTAAAATTTGATTTTTTTCTTCAGATAATAAAAAAATGTATTAGTTTTCATCAACAATAATTAGTCATATTTAGCTAATTTTTACTTTATTGCCCTTATATATGAAAGTAACGGTTGATTGTTTTGCAATATTTTGATCTTGATCTTTTAGTTTGCACTAAAAATGTATTCCTTTTGTTATATCTGTTTGACATTAGTACTCATGAGACATGCAATTGGTCTTTCTTTCTTGCAGACTTGCTTTGTTCAGCAGAGGGTTTTTTGGTTTTCTTAATTAATGGCTTCTCTAGATATGTCTCTTGATGATATGATTAAGAGCAGGCGCAACAGTGATAGAGGCAGAGGACGAGGCAGGCCTCGGCGTGGAAGAGGCTCACGAGGATCCTTTAGAGGTGGAAGGACTACTGAAGTTCCTGGCAGAGGTCCACTTGGTATAAATGCTCGGTCATCAGCTCACACCATTGCCAAGGCAAGCTCAAAACATTGAAGTCTTATGCATTTCGTTGACAGTCTGCTATCTCTAGTGACTCAAATGAAGGATCTGTAATTTTCCTTTAGTGATACTATTTGGTCCAAGGAGAAGCTTATATTTCCACAGACTGGAAAAAGCTGTTTAATCTTAGTGCTTTTATCCTGTCCACTTCACAGTTCTGTTCATGTGGTTTTTTGTTCAAGGGCTTTGCTGTGGATTTTTTTTTGACAAAAGTAGAAGATTGTTGGTGGCCCATTAAGACAATTTGCTACTTTGCATCTTCGTTGAGGAGCTTCTATAGTTGAAAACTTTAGAGCTTTCACCATTTTAACATCTGCTAACCACTTAAGGCTTGAATATTCTGAGCCATCTATAAACGTTATTTAGCTGCCATTATTGTGTTTAGATGGGAAGTTCATGATGGATACGTGTGCTTTTATCATGTTTGGGTTTTTGTTCAAGGGCTTTGCTATGGATTCTCTTGACAAAAGTAGAAGATCATTGGTGGCCCATTAAGACACCTTGCACCTTATGTTGAGGAGCTTCATTAGTCGAAAACTTGAGCGCTTTCACCATTTTAACATCCGCTAACCACTAAAGGCTTTAATTTTCTGAGCCATCTTTAAACATTATTTAGCTGCCATTGTTTTAGAGGGGGATTTCATGATGGATACATGTGCTAGCGCTGCTTGTGGAATTATTTTATGATGGATACCATTGCAAAATGATGGACTTACTTTTGGGGCGAGATTTCAGTATCAGTTCATGATGTTTTTGCAAAGGTGCCTTCTTTCGCTGAACTTTAGAACTGGAGCTCTCGCCTTTTTCATAGCACCTGTTGACATGCAGTCGGTTCAATCAGCTAGCCACCCATTACTCTAATTTAACATACCTCGAAATTTTCCGTGGAATTAGATTATGTTGTTTGAGCATCTCAATGTGACTTCTTCGTGGAATTTTGCTGATATCTGATTTATCTTGAGGAATGGTATTATATTACTTTCTTGGTCATATGCTGACATTTACTTTCCCAATCATGGTATATTTCTGGTTTGCATGCACCAGTCCTTCCGCAGAACCAAGAATTTGCCATGGCAGAATGGTCTGTTTGAAGATGGCCTTAGAGCAGCTGGGTTGTCAGGATTAGCAAATGGTACAAAGTTATATGTCTCCAACTTGGACATTGGAGTGACAAATGAAGATATAAGGGTACTAGCTGAACCATGCTTGTTGACATTTCATTCATCCTTCCAATGGGTTTCTTTTGAAGATTTGTTGAAAATGGTCTTGCGTCACAGGAATTATTTTCGGAGCTTGGAGAGTTGATAAGATATGCAATTCACTATGACAAGAATGGACGTCCAAGTGTAAGTATCAGGCTTAATGCATTATCTTTATTGTAATTTAGTTCCTTTTATGCTTTGAATTTGTACATGCTCTCTCGACTTTTTGGAGTGCTTCTATTTTATTGGGAGGTAAATATATGTTAAGATCTCAATTGATACTCAATTATATGTCCGTGTTTGAAATGTGAATTAGTGGTATATACTCTTTCCAATGAATGATTAGATATCAAGGTATGCTTGTTCAGGAGTTGATGAATAGTGGGTGAGATTGTGAAAAATGGTCAATGCTATATGCTCTCTTACTCTGAAATCTGACGAAAGTTAGTTGTTACATTGTATTGTAGTGGAACCGCTTTTGTCAAATTTAGCGTTATTTGATTAAACCATGGATGTTAAGACTAATGTAGAGGGCCATTTCTTAGGCAGGTCTCCCTTGAATTGGAATTCAAGGTTATGATCTTGTTAATGCTTGTAACTGTGTTATCTTTTAGAGCCTCTTGACTGGCACTATATTTGTTTCATAAGGAAACATTTCCCTTGATTGTGAGGGTGTTTCAGGTTTTTAATGTGCTGCATTGCATATTAGCTTTTTCCCGGATTCATCATTTACGTCACCTGCTGTCTTAATCATGAATATCTTGTCTGCTGCATCTAATTTTGAATTTTATCTTGCTTGACAATATTCTTAACGAGTTGTTACCTTGTTCCCTAGCGAATCTATTGTTCAACATTTTATGTTCCTTTTTGCTTGTATTCAGCTGCAGAAATTAATGAATCTATCGTTAAGCAGGGTTCGGCTGAAGTGGTTTTTGCTAGGAGAAGTGATGCATTCCTAGCTCTTAAGAGATATAATAATGTCCAACTGGATGGGAAGCCTATGAGGATCGAAATAATTGGTACTAATGCAGAGAACCCTGTCTCAGCTCGCGTGAATGTAGTTGGAGGGGCAAATGGAAAAAGGAGAACAGTTGTTATGACGTATGTGACTATAATAACTTACAATTAATTTATGTTAGTACTTCCTCAGTTTCTTGCTTTTGTTCATTTTTCTTGATGCGGTGCTTCCTGCGAGTCTTGAATATCTAAACTATACCTGTCAACAATAACGTACTTTAGGTGACTAGCACATATTTTAAAACTTTTTATCTTTTGTTTCACACTTGATATAAAATCATTACGTGTTTAGTACGATGAGTTGATAGTTGTATCCAGTCGATCTGTGTATAGATGAGATCCTTTGGCCCTAACCTAACATAGATGGAGGGTTTTACATGCAGTTTTCTTACGTTCTTTTCGAATTGGGCCAACAACTCTAGTTGGCCAACTTCTATATTTTGTAAGAGGTTGTACACCTGATGAGACCAGCATAATAATGTCACAGAACTTGAGTAGATGAGTTTTTCTTAGTCATCTTTTCATCTTAATAACCAAAACTTGAAGTTGAAAACTGAGTTGCTCCCTGACCGATGAATGCTCCATGGAAGAACTGCCTTTCTGTTTAAACCCCATATAAAGATAATAAGTTGCACTATGAAATCCCAACAAAAGGCTCCCAATTATTTTTGAATAGAAGCCCTGTCATGTTAAAATACAAATTGTATTCCTGATTACTTCTGTGGTCATGAAATGACAAGCAATTGTAATATTTAAGTAGTAAAATATTCCATACTGTATCAGATGTCTATAATTATGATGTATTGGTATTCCGTGTATTTATATAGACATTTTGTGACTCCATTTTTTCTTGATTGTATTCTTTTGTGGTACACCGTGTCCATTTACTGAAATCAGATCATGAGGGTGAAATGCCTGACCACAGCACCGATAGTTTTTGTTGCTGTTGTGTCATAATGCTTCTGGCATTTTTTAGCTGAATAGTTGATTTGAGATTTATTTGTATAAAAATTTTGCTGAGATAGGAATTTCTGTAATGATTCTGTTTTTTGACATGTTTTTGCTGGATAGTTGATTTGAGATTTTATTCCGTGCAACAATCTATTTGACATATGCATTTCTTGATTGTATTCTTTTGTGGTACACCGTGTCCATTTACTGAAATCAGATCATGAGGGTGAAATGCCTGACCACAGCACCTATAGTTTTTGTTGCTGTTGTGTCATAATGCTTCTGGCATTTTTTAGCTGAATAGTTGATTTGAGATTTATTTGTATAAAAATCTTGCTGAGATAGGAATTTCTGTAATGATTCTGTTTTTTGACATGTTTTTGCTGGATAGTTGATTTGAGATTTTATTCCGTGCAACAATCTATTTGACATAGGAATTTCTGTCGTTATAATTGAAGTTTTATTTATGTGTTTGTTAGCATTCTTGAAGCAGCAACTGATTGTTCTGGAATATGCTGTCTTGCTTAGTTAAGGAGTGTTATGCACAATAATTATAGTGGTCTATGTGCAGTCGCATTTTGTTATTCCTGGATGGAACTGATCCTAGTAATCTTCAGCTTAAATTTAAATTTGAATGGTAACACCAGTTTCATAATAAGCTGTCTTATATTCGGTCAATTAACGGGGAGCTAGCAAATTTGCAGGCCTGGACCAGGTAGTCGTTCCAGAGGAGGCTCAAGTTCTGCTAATCGTAATCCTGGGTAAGCTTGTCCAAAACATCTACACTTTTGAGATGGTTTCTAAATTATGTCACTGAATTACATTTAGTCACTTCTTGAGCATGGAATGTGATTAATCCTAGTAATATATGTTGAAATGGTAATGGTTTTGAGGTCTGAAAATTCACGAGCGCAAATTCTATATGAAGTTGTCCTCTGTTCAGCAATGCTGCTTTATGGAAAGGGACAAAACTACCAAAATATAATCACTAATCAGAAGCTTGGTCTCCCTTGAAACGTGATCGAGTCCAAAAGTTTACTTTCACGGAAGGAACATGGTCCTTATCCTAAAGGAGCAAGTAGGTCCCCTATCTTTGAATGTAGTTTGGCG